CTTTCATGTCCAGTGGCTCTCTTTTGCCACAATGATAGTAAGCTCATGTGGATTTTCTTCAATGCCCATCATCTTCTCTGATGTATATTGGTACTGCCAGGAGCAGACATGTCTCCTTGTCAAAAAAAGCGCCTAAATTATTAAAATATCTTAAATATCATATTCTGTAAATCTCTGAAGTGTTTGAAGACAACCTGTCTATCTAAAATATGTCTCTGTTTGATCTTCAAAACATACTTTATATGACTACAAGTTTGATTGTTATAAATAACTACTAACTTGCATTTCTTTATACCATACTTAGTTGCTAAAAATAATTTTCAAGGAATGGAAATTTTCATTACATTGCTAAATGAGTTATATGGGTATAATGCTTGAACAAGAGTAGACATGTTCTAACAAAAATAACCATAAATTCTTACCAATATGCAGAGATCCATATCAATGTAAATATTTAAAGCTAGTAGTTGTTCTTTTAAAATGAGATTAAATAACCTGCATTTTTATCTTATCACTTTTATATTCCCGGACACTTATATTCTCAGACACTTATCATTTTTATATTCCCATTTATCACTTTTATATTCCCAGACACTTATATTCTCAGACACTGAGATCAATAATTAATAAATGGGACCTCCTGAAACTGAAAAGCTCTTGTAAGGCAAATGATATGGTCAATAAGATAAAATGACAGCCTATAGAATGGGAAAAGATCTTCACCAACCCCACATCTGACAAAGGGCTGATCTCCAAAATATATAAAGAACTCAAGCAACTAGACATCAAAATACTAAGTAATCTGATCAAAATGTGGGACACAAATCTAAACAGAGAATTCTCAACAGAAGAATCTCAGACCTGAATAAATTTCAACATTTTGCTCAAAGTCCTTTGATAAAGGGCTTTACTATAACAAAAAATCAAGTACTGTGAATGTTTTCCCCACATTGATAACCACAGTTAAATGTTATGGTCCCAAAATGATAAATGCAAAACCTGAGTCTCAGAAAATTACCCTGGAGCATACACCTAGAAACTTCACACCTGGGAATCTAGCTTATATTCTCAACACTTAGATAAGACTAGGTTGTACTGTTTTTGCTTTATCATGCTTATGCTCTGCCATGTGCAGGAAGAAGTTTCTGTCCCACCAGCCAACTCCCTAATAATCAAATGGAGACTTGATAATTATGAAACCTCAGCAGATAGCTTAAGTTTGTTTTAACTAGTTCTTATAGCTTAAATTTACCCATATTTTTAAATCCACATTCTTTTAAGTGGCTTTGTTTCCCCAATTCTCTACTTTCTATCCTGCTTTCTCTCTGTCTGGCTGGTGACCCTGGCCTTCTTCCCAGTGTTCTCTCATTCTGGATCTCCTGCCTAACCTCTTCCTGCCTAGCTATTGAACTGTTGGCTCTTTATTAAACCAATGAGAGCAACTCATCTTTACAGCATATAAAAAGATTATTGTAGAGCAGCCATGCATAAGTTGGGATCAT